TCATGGTAGTCATTCCATTGACTTTTAAGGCTTTAAATCTGGCCATATATATCTTCTTTTTCTCATGTCCTTAGCATAAATTAGATGTTTTTTCCAGAATTGTGCACAAGTGATGACTCTTTCCATTGCTGCAGTGAGGACCTCCTTCATATAGGTCTCAGCAAAGAGCTGGTAAAAGAAAACAGCTGGTGCTGCATAGTTTGCACTTCACCGCATTTGCATGTATTTGTGTCATTAGAGTAGCCCCATTTGATCATGTTTGTTTTTGATCTTCCAATTTGCACATGTAGGCGACTTCAGGTGTTGCCGTGTTGGCCAGTCTAGATCAGCCCCTCTGGGAAGGTCCTCCTGGGGTTACAGTTCCATTCCAGAGCACCTGATTGCACATAATCTTTCCTTCTATAATCTCTGTTGCATCCTGTCAGCTGTCATGTCCAGTGGCACAACACTGGTGACTTTTTAAGCCTTTTAGTGCAAATGCCTGGGGTCGTCCGTCTGCTGTGATTTTTCTTTTTGGCTCACTACCTTTCTTCTGATATCAGGTGGTGCAATGTCAGCCAGTAAGTACAAACTATCCTTTGGTGTTGGCTTTAGACATCCTGTTATTTCACAACAGCTGTTAGTCACAACTGGATCTATCTTCTTGGCATGAACAGATCATTCCCATGCTGGACACGCATACTCTGCAGTCGAGTAAAACAAGGCAATAGCAGTGGTTTGTAATGTAGTCAGTTTCGCTCCTCACTTCGAGGTGACCAACTTTCAAAGTATGTTGTTGTGGGCACTGACCTTCCCTTTTGTCTTTTATATGTGTTTTGGTGGTAAGTGCTCAGTCCAATGTAACCCCCAAGTATGCAGGGTTCAGGTGATTTAGCAGGGATCCTGGCTTTCTAATTTTAAAAAATCCCAGATTTTTCCGTTAAAAAGACAAACAATCCCCCCCCCCCACCCCATCCACATTTTTCTGTGATTAAAATGAAACCTCTCTCTCTCATTTATATTTATATACATATTATCCGTAACGCTTCTGGCCAACTGCGTATGCGCTGCCGAGAGGGCAGGTGGACCAAAGGGGCAGGAGGGAGACAGGAAGTGGTGGTGGGAGAGGAGGGGGGAGCAGTGTCAGATCTGAAGCAGCATGAGAGAGGGGGGGAACAGGGCCAGACTGAAATGGTGGGGGAGAGGTGGAGTAGAGCAGGGCTAGACCGAAGTGGTGAAGGGGAGGGAAGGTGGAGCGGGGTCAGACTCAAAGCGCCAGTCAGGGGATAAAGGTAGAGCGAGGCTGGATGAGGAGCATCGGGGATGAGGGGAGTGGGGTTGGACCCAAAATGTGGTGGGGAGGGAGAGGAGGGGCCAGACACGGGGCTCTGTCCCTGTCGGCCCCTGCTGTCATTCTTGATGGCAATTCGCTAGTATGTTTGTGTGTGTATAGATAGATATATGTGTATAGGTAGGTGTGTGTATGTAGATAGATATATGTGTATAGGTAGGTGTGTGTGTGTTAGTGGGGTTTCATTTAAATCACAGAAAAATGTGGATTTGGGGTTACTCTTTTTTTTTTTTTAACCAAAAAATTGGGGATTTGTATTTATTTTTCTTTTTTAAATCAAAGAACCAAGAACCCTGGTGATTTTAATCAGTGGGATTCTATCCCAGGTGATATTTAATTCCCAATTGGCTTCTCTGTGGCATACGTGAAAAATTGTGACCTGTATCTTGATTGGGTTGGCATGAAGCTGGTTCTTATTGTACTAATCTAAGAGGTTGCTCAATGTATGTCAGTTGGTTCTTGACAGTGGCAAGTCCTTCTCTTGCAACATGATGCATAGATCAGCACCGTATGTGTCCTTATATTACTCTGTATGGGTTGGTCGTTGGTATATATGTTAAAAAGGATCAGTGCTAGCAAGGTACCCTGCGGTACACCATTTTGTTGTTGTCTCCAGTGGCTGTGTTTCTTGCAGAGCTCTACATAAAAACACACATATTCTGCAAAAGAGATTGGATAAGTTGCATACATGCTATAACACAAAGTATCACTGACATAAGTATCACAGACTTCTTACTCCAAGTAATGCCTTTGCTTCAAGCAATCTGCCAAATGGAATAAATACAAATATCTCCATTTTCTAGACAGTTAGATGAACACAGATAAAGTGATTTGCCAAAGGCCACAGAGTTACTTACTGACAGAAGAAAAGAATCTGGTGTTCAGTCTCCTAGTATCCTCTTTGATCTGCTACAGACAGCACTGTCTCTGCAATTATTTGTCTTTAAACTTGATTAAAATTAGATGACTTAATTTCAACCTGTCTCGACTTTTTGTGTGAAAGATGCTTGCATATCCCACTTCCTAGCTAGCACAGTGTAGTACTTGCTTTTGTAAAACTCATGGATAATCATCAGACACTTGAAATGCAAAGCTGACTCTATCTTTTGTGGATAGAATAAATCAGTGTAGACCAACGGTGCTCAAACCTTTGGCCCCGCAGGCCAGATGAGTAGCTGAATCAGGCCCCGGGGCCTCGGATTGCCCGCTTCCCTGCCCTGTGTGCCAGGATTGGGTCCTGGAAGCCTGGCATTCCTCTCCTGCCTCCTGTATGCTGGGGCAAAGCCCTGAACTCCCTCTTCACACTCCCCACGCACTGGGATTGGCTCCTGGGGGATTGGCACCGCCCCCTCCCAGCTCCTACACTGGGATTAGGCCTTGAGGCCCAGCACTACCCCTACCGGGTCCTGCACACTGAAATCAGGCACCGGATCCAGAGCACAGGACCTGGGGCCAAAATTCTCTGATAAGAATACAAATTTTTCTGACTAAAAACCCCAAAATCTGCCTTTTTTGCAATTAAAGTGAAATGCCACTACAAATATATAGGTATCAGTTGAATACAATGTTTTATTAATATATTTATAATTTTAAAGCAATTTGGAAGCCTACCAGTGCCTCAAGCATTATAATAAAATACATTCTAAATACCTACATACTTTGGCATTTGATTTTGGTTATTTTATTGTGGAAAAAGAGCTCACCCTGCCCCCTTCACTCACCAGGACGTGGGTCCAGCTGTGGCTGTTCTCCCCCCTGCTCACTTTGTGGCGCTGAGCAGCTCTGATATGCCAGTATCCTGCCCCTGCTCATGCCATTGCCCCTCACTCCTGACCCACAGTCCCTGCCCCACCTGGCTCTGCTGGTTCTCCCTTATTCCCAACCCACGGTCCCTTGTCCCCACCAGTGCCCCTTACTGCTGACCCAGACTCCTTTCCCCACTGGTGCCCCTTACTCCTGACCACAGTCTCCTTCCCCCCCCGCCGCCAGCTCTGCTGGTGCCCCTTACTCCTGACCCACTGCCCTCTGCCCCTGGACCCCAGCCCCCCAGCATGTGGGGAACTGGGTGGGTGTGTGGGGAACAGGGGGACTGTGGGCATAGGCGGTGTGAGGGGCAGGGGAGCACAGGCAATGCATCAGGGAGTATGTACCCCATATTTCTGTACCCACAGCAGGGCACAGGGCTGCAGCCCAGCGGGACCAGCTCCAGGCAAGAGCCACCTCTGCAGCCCAGCAGGTGGGACCCAGCCGCCATGGCTGCCAAGATGAGGCACTGAACGGGCAGTGTAGAGTTGTGTCCCTGACTGCTGCTGGATGGGCAGGGGGTACCTCACCTTGCTGACCATGGTGGCGCAGCACTCCCTCCTGCACTGGGTCCCACCACTGAGCTGCAGAGTTGGCTCCTGCCTGGAGCTGATCTGGTCAGACTGCAGTCCCATGCCCCACTGGGTGCAGAAATCTGGTGGGGTACATACTCTCCCTCCCACCCTTGCATATGTCACTTGTGCACCCACCCCCTGCCCCCATAAACTTACCTGAAGGGAGCTGCAGGAGCTGCTCTCCACCATACTGCCTGGCTGCCACATGCATGTGTGCACACACACATGCATATGGCACTCCCTGCGCCCCACTCCCCGCAGCCCCTTGAAGGTGGGAACTCTGCTAGCCTGCAAGAGGAAACTTTCAGTTTCCCAGATTTTTCTTCTTTAAGGGAGACGATCCATGTTTTGCCACGTTTTTCCATGGCAAACGGAAAACCTGGATCCCTGGTGATGAAACAAATACAAACTCTTGCAGGGTTCTGTAGGATTGCCGTGTTCAGCAACTTCCAGTGATGCCCCAAGGAATCCCTTCATTTCAAACAGCATAAGGTTGGGTCCCATTTGAACCCAAATTATCATCTTCAGCCATTTGTATCTTCTCTCTTGGTTTCTGGGTCTTTGGTAGGGGTGCTGCTGAATCCCCTTTGCATATCATATGACTACATAAAATGACCAACATTTATTTTGGGAAATCATCTGCAAAGCAAGGAATAAGGCATATTCTTCAGAATTCACAATAAACAAATGCAAAATCTTCAAATGTATAGTTTTCAAAGATAGTAGAATAACTTGGGGGAGGTGAGCAGGGTACCAGCCCTGGGCTTCCACTTAGAGAGTCACCAGGATGGTGGTTCCCTGGGGAGTCTGTAGTGCTCCAGTGGCAGCAGCCAGGTCCTGGGACACCATTCCACTGCTGTAGCAGCAATAACAGCAACAGCTGGGGCCAGGCATATTGTCCACACCAGCAGCAGCTAGGGACTTTGAGTTCCTGGGGGAAGGTAACACTTTCAGATGGTAAAGTGGACCACAGCTACAAGCAAAGAAACAAGTCAGGGCAATGTGTATTAAGGGTGTAACACTGAAGTGCAGGTGTCAGATTGGGCTGGCTTTATCCATCTACCTGCATGAAATCTCACTGAATCAGTGGAGCTCTGCATGGGTACAGGCCTCCACCATTCCTGTATAGGTGCAGGATGAGCCTTTACACCTTGATCCAAAGTCATCTGGAATCAGTGGAAAGGGCATTGTCTTTGTTTAGGTTTTGAATTGGCTTTCATATAAGTATCTGAAACATCATGAAAGTGTGTGTTAAATCACTGAAACATTTCCACTGAAGAAAATAACAGGCAAAACATTTAATCTCAACAGTGATTGAAAAAACAGCCATGTAGGTCTTTCATTTTTAAATATTTCATTACAAAGTTTTCTTCAATTAAATATTAAATAAATCACAGAAACAACGCATTTAACCTTGGGTCGTATAAAAACATCTTATTGGAGCCAAAACTTTTTTCCAACTTTTTGTTTTGTTGGAAAAATAGAAAATAGTGTTTTGAAGGTGATGCAAAACCAGCATTTTTCCTGGGTTCCATAAAAAAAAAATTTGCATGTCTGTAGTCCTAAACTAAGCATAGATCCATCCAGTATTAATAATTCCATTTTTGTATATGCATTAAAACGCACCAGAAATATACCATAGTATAAAAAGGATCCAGCTCAACTCTTAAAGCTTTTTTGGTGTCTTTCAAAACCTCATTTGTTTAATTTTTTTCCCCTAAACCAATATTTAAGAAGCAACAGAATTTTTTCCTTTATAAAAAAGCATAAAAATCTCTATACTGGAACAACTCTGTTGGTTAAGGTGGGCCATATATCCATGGTGCCTTATGTGCCTGTGTAATTCTTTTTTATCGCTTAATTTGTCTTTGCATTAGAAACAGAACAGATAAATGTTAATTATTTTCCTAAGCCACTGAAATTATATGATGGACTGATCTTTTGCCAATTATTATGCCGGAGCTAATAGCAAACCATGCATAGAACAAGACTAAAGTATTTCCTTGTTTAACAGCAATATTACTTAAAAACAAAAATGGCAGCCAAGTTCCATCGTCCACATTAAAACACATCTTGATCTGACCCTTTGGTTTGCCGAATTATAGCAAGGAGAATTTTTATAAGCAATATCATTATTCTTTTATATAATGCAGTGCTACAGCTATAGTATGCTAAAAAAGCTTTGAATCAATGGCTAACAATCTGCATTAACAATAGATTTTCATTTCCACATGGGAGAGAAAAAAAATCCCCATGGGTTTATCTTCAGAATTAGATGGCATGTAAAATATATAACCACTTTGGAAGAAAACTGTCTAACATTCCTGAGCTATGTCTTGAAAAAGGGGTGTGTGCTGAAAGGCAAAACGGCCTCTGTTTTCTCCCCAAATCTGGACAAGCACAATAAAAAGTGACCTTATTTGTTCATATGATCTTAGCCTATAAAAGGCCAAGAAGCGATTCACCTTTTCTCCAGAAATTAGCAACTGAAAATTGGGGTGCATGTCTTTAAAAGAGGAAACTGATTTTAAACAGTCTGGTTCATTCTGCCTTCCTAATCAAGAGGTGTCTTATTTGGGGTGCATGATATGTGAATAGATATGGTAGTTGTCACAACTTTTCTGAGATTAGGAATTGTGAGTGGTGCAGAGCCTGGTATCATTCACCTCTATGGTTTGGCTAGGGAAGAGCAGCCGTTGTTCTCTATGGCTTTGACTGGATGGATGGGCAAGACCAGGTGGGATATGCGGCTCCACAACCCACTCAGCTTATCTGTGTCCATGTGATTGTAGGAGCTGGGAGTATTGGTGTTGGTGAATTTGGCCCAGAGGAAGTCACGTACTTTTTCCTCAGTCTTCCGTGGGTTAATGTTGACCTCTAGCTTCTCCTCCTCCAGCAGAACAGTTAGCAGTAGTGCTACATCTTTGAAGGCCGCACTTTCATGGTCACAGTACTTGTAAAAGATCAAAGTGGAGCCAGCTGGCAGCGACTCAAACTGATGCACCACGGCTGCCTTCCCACCTTCCCTGAACCCAGAGCTCAGTTCATTATCCACTTGTAGTTTTGCTTTGTCGCTATCAAGCCTGGATTTACTAGCCCCATAAATATGAATTGTGCTAGCACCAAGTGAGTTGGAGTAGGCATCGGCAATTTGGTTGCTCAGGCACTCCAAGGTTTGCTCTCCTTCACGGGCAGCGGTAAAGATTAAAATGGCTGGCTCTGTGTGATGGGAAGAATTGATGTGTCTCTGCAGGAACTTGCGTCCTCTAAGCCACAGGGCAGGGTTCTGCCCTGGAAAGCTGACTTTCAGCTGATCCAAAGCTGAAGAGAAGGCCTTCAACACCAGATTTTCTTGCATATGTGAGGACTGGGAAGTATAGTAACCACTGGAAAATATGCAGAAGAAAACCAATAGTATGACTCCCAGTAAAACTGCACGGGAATGAAATCCTGTTGAGCAGAGAGACAAGAGAAAGAGAATGAAAGAATGAGTCAGAAATGAGTGCAGTTAGAGGCTAACATAGGGCTAGCACATAGGGTTTTTTCATGCCCAGCCCCCCCACCTGCTTTCTAATGGCAAGTGGCTGATTTGCTCCAGTAGCTACTGGTGTCACGGAAACATTTTATGTAGCAATGGCAGGGGGAACTCTTACCCAAGATTCTAGGATTTTTTCCGCTCACAAAATGTACACATTTTTCTCCCACAAACTAAGTTAGGCCTGCAGCTTTGGAACCACTGCATAGAAGTCCTTATGTGGCTCCTGGGGAACTTTCAACTAACTGCAGGTTTCATTCTCTTTTATCCTAGCACTTAATATACTATACCCCAGTGCAAGGGCAAGATTTTTCTTTTGTGTTTTGGTGATATTTGTACATATTTGTAGAGCAATCTTTTGAGTCAGGGAGAGCTGTTGAGTGCCTGGCACTTTGAAACTCAGCCGTATCTATCTCAACTGCTTATTCTGCCCCTGTGACTAAGGTCCAAGCACCTCAGGGCACGTCTACGCATTGCCCTATGGCGATGTAGCAACACACTATGTCACTACAGTGTGCTACAGCAACACTGCAATCACATGGGTCTACGCGTGATTGCCAGCTACATCGCCAATAGCGGCACAATCCCCTGGTACACTGCACTGCTACGGTGATATAGTGGCAAAATCTAACCATGTGCTGCACGCACAGTGCAGTAACCGCCCATACTGCACCATGTTTTAGTACTTCTAGAAGGAAGTACTAAAGCACGGTGCCATAGCAATATCACCACATAGCAATGTGTAGATGCACCCTCATTTTTTAATGGACTTTTTTCTACAATAACCTATAAAGTATGACAGTGCTGTTATGCCTGTGTTATGTATGGGAAACTGAGGAACAAGGAGGCAACAGATTCAGTGGCAATTCAGCACCTAAATACATTTGAGGATCTGGGTCCCAGGGCATGATGCTAGAAGAGCCTCTGCCACTTAAAACAGTAAGGTTGTAACAGAAGAGCCCCCTTGCGGAGACAGTGTTGAATATGCCAAAAGCAGGCTTGTTTCCTGTTAGCAGAACTACACAGACAACAGCACTCTTCCATCAGACCAGCTATGTCACCATGTAGGGTTTTGATAATCTAGCTTTATGTCCATGGAGGATTTCCAAGCTAGTATGCCAGAAGAATTTCATAGTGTACACCTTGCCCTGGGGCATACAGGAAGTGGCAGAGTATATTTTTGAAGCTAAGGCCTTGTCTGTCCTCTCTTGTCTCTTTTGTCAGAAGTTCTGGCATTAGGCAGCTGCTGCCACCACCCAGACCCCAGAGCACTTGTACATCCATGTGCTTCTAGAAGCTCTTCACAGCTCCAGTACAACAGCTGTGCTGCCTGAGCATGAAGGGCTGGAGCAGCCAGCTGATGGTGCAGGAATATCTACAACACCTTCCGCTGGCTGCCAGATGGTGAGAGAAGACTTACTTGCACAACAGAGGTGTCCTGGCCTACACCACAGTCTTCCTGACAGACCTCAAATGTTGTAGTGAATTAGGCCTTAGTCTCTCAAGAAAGACACAAAAGCTGGTGGCAGAACATTGTAACCTCCCTGAATACTATATCATTGACCTAAGGGTGGCTGTTCTAAGGCAGCAAACTTAAAAAATAGTTCAAACCAGAAATTGCAGAACAAGAAAGCATCCACAGACTGGATTATGTTAAACATGGTTTAAACAGGGACTATGGATTCTTATCCTAGTACCTGGATTAATTTGTATGACTCCTCTGTTCCTATATGCTTATTGCTTGTTTGTATACCTCTCTAACATTGCCTCCCTTTCCTCTCCCTCTCCCCTTCCCTTGTCTTCTGTATTTAAATGTCTCTCTCCTTCTTGTATACTGCTTTTGTGTACATCCTTTCACAGCACCCAATGAGGCAAGCTTCAGCCCATGAAAGCTTCTGCTACATAGATCTATCTACTTTAGTTAGTCTATAAGGTGCAATTCTACTTTGTCTTCTACTTGACTTCCCACTAACATGGCTAACTATCTCTCTCAATCTCTCAAGAAACAGGCCAACACCCCACCTAAAGGGCCGTTCTTCTTTTAGTTGAAATCTTAAATAAAAATGTAGGTGTTTTACTTCAGTTATCTTTCCTTTTTTAAAAAAAATCCTGGCCAGCAGTGTACCTTGTGTATTTATTTTAGTAAATACATAAGGCCTCATCGCCACCTACAAGAGGGAAAAGACTACTTGGAAAGCCCCATAGTGCTGAAGGTCTCCCAAGGCATAATACTGTGTGATCTATGTGCAATGAGGAAATGTGTCATACAGTGTCTCAGCGTGTGCTTGGATGCCTCAGCCCGAGAACTGGAGGGAAATCCCATGTATTATGTATGGGACTGAAGAAGACGCGACTTAACTTAGGGTTACCATACATCCGGGATTTCCTGGACATGTCCTCTTTTTAGATCCTTCAATCCCGATCCAGGCAGTTTTTTTAAATATGATCAAATGTCTGGGATTTTGGTCAGCTTAGCTTCAAAGATTTCCTGGCACTTCCGGCTTGCCCTAGCAAGGAGCTGCTTGCGGGGGTGGGGAGAGGGTGATTGGAGGCAGGGCGCACACACACATGGTGGTCAGCATGTAGCCAGCCAGACGGGGTTGGGGGGAGCCCAGCAGCTGGATACAGGTAAGTCTGTGGGGGACGGGGGTTGGAGGACCAGGGCTTGGGGACTGTGGGGGTGGGTGTGGCTGTGTGTGTGGGTGGCCGGGGGCAGGTCTGGGGCTGCAGCTGAGTGAGGGAGGTGCCTGCCCCTCCTGCAGGGGAGGGGGGTTGGGGAGGCCTTCAGAGGCACCAGGGAGCATAGGCAAAGGGAGAAAATATTATTTGGGGGACTGAGTAAAACTTAAATACTTCTGCACACAGACCCAGACACACAGCCCAGCAGGTAAGTCTGTGAAGTGCAAGGGGTGTGGAGGAGGGAAGAGGCAGTGGGGGGGCATGTGCCCCTTGGATTTGTGCATGGGGCATCACAGAGGTAGCCTGTTGCTGCATGCTGGGCTCTGGAGTCGCGTGATACCATGTGCCTTCCATGCAGGTACATGGTGTCATGCAGAACCTGGGCAATGGCAGCAGGGCACAGAGCCCAGCGCAAAGTGGCAGCCCACCTCCATGATGCCCTGCACACAAATCCTGGGGGCACGTGCCCCCCTTGCCTCCCCTGGATGCATGCAATGGCAGAAGCTTCCCCATGCCCCTAGATGAGCTGTCCGCAGCTAGGACTGTCCCACAACTCACCCTGGCCTTGGGGTCCTATTCACCCCAGCCCCTGCCTCTGCCCCACTCCCTCCTTTACTGTGGGGGCCTCGATATGCTCCCTGCATGCCCCTTGCCCTTCACAGACTTACCTGCTGGGCACTGCATTCCTGGCTGCTTCTATAGGCTGTGGCTGCATGTCTGTCTGTGTACACCCCTCCCACTCCCCACCTGCAGTCGCCCAGAGCCTGCATCCAGGCTGCCCTGTAGTCCTCTGTGCTGCCACTGCTGCCTCAGCCTTCCACTGCCTATGCCAGGGAGCTGTGTTGCTGGCTTGGCAACACTGGGGCCAGTGCCTGTGCTCGCAGAGGCAAAGCAGGGAACTATGGATTGGAAGTGGGAGGTGGTAGGGCTGTGGGGTCTGGGGTCAGCAGGGCAGGGGCACTGACAGCACCAAGGAGTTGTGGGTTAGGAGTGAGGGGCACGAACAGGGACCGGGGGGGAAGGGGGGAGCTGCGCACTGGGAGTGAGGGGCACCAGCATAGCCCAGGGGGGCAGGGTACTGCAGTTCAGGAGTGAGGGGCTCTGGCAGGGCTGGGGTCTGTGGGTTGGGAATGAAGGGCAGTAGCAGGGCTGGGAGGTGGACTGGCTTGGGAGTGAAGGGCAGGCAACAAAATGGGCAGAGGCAGGGAACCGGCATATCGCTGCCCCGCCTCCCCATAGTCATATACCCTCCTCCCTCCCTGCATGACAAGTGTCCTCTTTTCTGGAACTGGAAATACGGTAACCCTAAATTAAAGAAGTGATTTGCTTTCTATGTGAAACCTGCTTCTCCAGAATCCCCAGTAAGTTATTACTTTCCTCAGATCCCTTGGCAAGAGTTTTATAAGCACTAAACAAAAGTGTAATTAAACAATTTGACTGTGTTTCATTATCAGATCCTTGAACTGATTACATTGAGAGAAGGGTAATCCACAAGGGAACCTTCCCATTCTCACCACTGCATGAATAGGACTTTTCCTTCTTCAGTAGTGCTTCTGGTACAATCTGTTTACTTATTGACTCCACAGTGGGATTGACTGTATCTTGTTGGCCTCCAGCATCTGACTTCACAGCTGTGTAATTTGTATAAAAGAAGAAAGAAGGAATTTGTCACTCATTAAAGAAAAAGGTTTCTGATACACAACAAAGTGAAGATGTTTCCAGGCTGCAACAGCAGGAGCAGGGGAATGGAAAAAACAATAAACACATTTAAGAAGCTTCAAGCTATAGGCACCTTTGCCTTCAGAGACTATAATCACAAAGAAAAGAGTGGCAGGGGACATGTGGTTCTTTAAAATCAAACATAATCTAGTTTTTTTACCAAGCAGGAGAGAGTCCCACTCAGGGACAAGGAAATAAGGAAGTCTGTGCTGAGTTGGACATGGCCCTTCTATCTACTCAGCTATTTGGAAAACTTAACTACAGTCACCGATTGAGAAAGAAGCCCCACAATGCCATCTTTACAAGGTGTCTTTTCCAAGTCGGGGGTCTGCATTATCTTGAAGGTAAAGACTCTTCATAAACCATAAAAGCAACAACACACTTATTATGACTCGCCTTCGTTCCTGTGCCTCTTCCTCGAATCAGATTTGGATCCTTCTATGTCCTGGGTTTCCTGAGCGATAGGATCCAGTGACTTTCCTTCCAGAGCGAGTCCGATGTTTTCCTCTTTTCTCAGGGGCTGCCCTGTGATGTTCTTCGGTGCTTCAGATAGACTTACATCTTCCCCTGCACCATCAGAACTCAGTGGTTTTCCCTCTGAGGAATCCTCTTCAATTCTTTTGAAGGGGCTTCCACAGATATTCCTTGAATCTGAGGGATCTAATATTACCTGTCCTGGGGAGGTTTCCAGGTACACAAGATGACCTTGGCCCTGAGAAGTTGTCTCCACTTCTCTTGTTACCTGCTCTTGTGCTCGATAGCCTGTAGGAACAAAAAATCATAAACTCCATTTTCTTTAATGCAATAAACAAGAATATTGAGTAGTTTCCAGGGGAAGGAGGAGGGGGAAACAAATATAAGAAACAAGTTCTCGACTTTGTCAAAGAAAAGGAATTTTCCTAAAAAAATCGGTACATTTTCTGCTCTGCTCTCGAAATAATCTATCCTGACCCTCTGAAGTCAGTGTGAGTTTGCATGGCTCTCAATCTGGAGGAAATGTCTCACTTGTCAACCAGACTATTTGATCTGTAAAAATGGTATTTTGGGGTATGTCCCTTTGCAGATTATCACCATAAAGTGGAAGGAAAAGGATCTGCTGGAACAATAAGAGAAGCAGCACCACATTATGCGAAGTACTGTTTGACTCACCTTCACCTGAGTCTTCTCTCCTGTTGATTTCCTTGACACTTTCTGAAGGAGTCTCTTTCATTGCATCTGTAGAATCTGTAGATGAAAGCTTACTTTCATTGGAATCCAGAGCTTTGCTTGCCAAGGCAGATGCACTGGTTTTCTCTTCTTTCCCAGGATCTTCTGTACCACACTCTATATGGGGAGAGGATTCATGGTTTCTGGGTTCAGCAAAGTTTGGGTAGCAGAACTAAATCAGGTCTTGCTCGCATGCAACTCTCAAATCTCCCACCAGACCGAACTCCACTGGGCTCATTTTGCAAACATAACCCTATCCATTTTAAACTCAGTACTACTTGTATTATTTAGTCAATCCAAATAAAAAATGTCCATATTTAGCAGAACTTTCTTCTCTCTCCAAATCTTATATGATGGGATTCCCTCTGTCTCTCCTCTCCAACGCTGTTGGCGTTGATGTTGTGGTGCCTGTTTCTACAATCTGGAGCTGTTCAACTTTTGGAAGCGCATTTAGATGCCTGCAGCTTGATCTTCCCTGGGAAGGAATTCCCCTGTGTCTCATGTATCAAACTAGAGTTAAGCAGCAGGATTGTATGCATATGCTGGGGGTGCAGGGAAGAAGATTTTTCTGAAGCGCTCATCATTGAGCTTCATGATGCCTACCTAGCATCCTAGATACAAGTCTAGTGCATGTTGTCACAAGGACTCCAAAATGAAAAGCAGTATTGTTTACTTAAGTATAAAAGTGACTATCGGGCGCTTCCTTTTATTGACCTGGATCTACAGAAATAAAATATGCATTTCCTTTAATTTCCTTCTAAGACTTAGGTTTCATTATAAACATCTTTACAAGGGGTCATTTTCTCTGTTTTCTTTAATGCAATAAACAGGAATAAGTAGTTTCCTATTTATTTACAAACTCCTAACAAAACTACTAGTCCTACTACCTCTAAAAGTGATGCAAAAATCAGACAGGGAGGAGAGATTTTTTCAACCTGCTACTGCCATAGGTGAACCATATTAAGACAATTGTTCAGAGCAGTCTGAAATGTTCAGACCAAGAATGCTGAGTCCAGAAGGAACGGACCTTGGTGCCATAGAAACTGGGCTCCAGAGCATAGTAAAGGAGTCTGGCCCATGCAACAGGAGAGGAAGTTGCTTCTTACAGCAGTGTGAGACTGGTGACTGAGAGGAGAGCCTGGGGAGGGAGCTTCCCAACACAGAGTAGGTGGGGAGGACTGAGGAAAGGCACTCTGGAAGGACTATAGTGTGTTTCTTGGAGTTTGTGTTTTCCTTTGCCTGTTTGTGATTTGGGGCAAAAGGAGGCTGTGAGGTAGGGGACAGCTGGAAAGGGAGAAGGGAGATTGCTAAGGGCACTATGGGAAGAACACTGCGTGGTCTGCTTTGGGACAGTGAACAGCCTGACTAAGGCCCTGGAGCTGCAGAGGATAGCTGTATTGCCCTTGAACTGTAGACAGTACCATTGACTGGACCAGAAAGATGTACACTGAGCGGGGTAGAGAAAGTCACTTGAGGTTTCACACTGATCCGAGGGCTGCCTTAGATTTTTGTTCAATGCATCTGAAAATGTGATTCCTAATGGCTACACCCAACATACCCCCATGTGGATCCTGGTCTGTGTTCTCCTCCATTTTCTTGCGTTGATGTTGTGGTCTTGACTAGTTTGTTTCGCTTTCTGGTTTGATCATAAAATTGCCTTCTGTCTTCTTTCTTTTCTAAAGTGCTTGATGAGTCCCAGCCAGCTCATGCATACCATCCCCTTGTTCCTCAAGAATCACATATTGGGATAACTAAATGCCAACGAGAAAGACAAATATAAAATAAGGAAGCAATAATTCATAATTAAAAAAACTTGAGAGCTCTTCCCCTTCTCCTTCCTCCCTGCAAAGAGAACACTTTAAGGTTATCTAAATTGGTGTGATGCTGTTAACTTTATGATGGAACGTACTAAAATGCAACTCAGATAATGAAGTACACAAAGACTTTGGTCTAGGTGCTATTAGCTGCCTGCAACCTTTAACAGGACCAAAAACATGTAAAACTGACTATAGATATGTTAAGGGGGATCTGCAATTGTATTACCTTTTTAACCCATTAAATAAGTGTATCTTTTGTGTTCATATATAGAGAACATCAGCCCTTATGGCTGAGCCGCAGGGACAGGGTAGGATGGTGATGTGGTAAATTGCACCATGCCTAGTAGGGCTGTGCAAAATTTTGGCAGCCGTTTCATTTTGGAGGTGTTTTGGCCCGTTTCAGTGCCCGAAACACCTAATCCAAAATGAAATGGAAGGCTCTGAAACATCTCCAAAACTAAACAAAACCATCTGAAACATTTCGCAAATGTTTCAGATGTTTCGGAACGTTTCAGAGGTGCCCTCCGGGAATAGTCTGGCATAGGCCTGCAGCCCTCCTTTCAAAGTGCTGGGAGGCTGGGCCCGGGGTCAGTGATGACTCTGAAACTCATGCTAAACTTGGGCCTACTCACAAAAGTTAAAATGAAGAATAATAATGCTAACTGCATATTGCAAGAGGATGTGATTTCATGGCTAGGCCATCTAAGAAGGAATAATGAAGTATATCTTCCAGCTTATATTGCTATATTCAGAATGATTTCAAGCAGACTCCTAGGTGTCTGGGGTATAACCATATGAAATGTCTATCCTTGATTAATTAGTATGGTAAATATTTCTTTTGTGACTAACTCGTGTTTATGTGCAGGAAGAGACATCCTGCATATGTAATAGATGTCTCCTCCTGATTTAGTATGTTTTTCCTGGCTGTTAATCAGTTTCTTGATATGTTTCAAACTGGATAACCTCTTGTTACTGAAGAAGGTAACTCATTCAAATTAAAAATTTCTGATAACCAGTAATGAGCAGGTTTTTCCTGTCAGTTACTGCTTGGGACTCTTTCTTGATTTACACAACTAAAAGAATACTTTGAAGATGCTTAACTAAGGGTATAAAAAGGCAATAAAACAGCAAACAGCGCACATGCTTCAAGAGTGAGAAATCTCTCTGATACCAGTTGCTGATGCGTCTGACTTACTCGAGAAGTTGAAGAGAAACAGACCGCCTCTTTGTTGCCTGTTTGGTGAGAAATCATCACCTTATAGCTAATTACTGGACTTTGATTTGGCTTGGGCTTACTTGACTTGATTTTAAATACTTGTAGTAAATAAAACCTTTCTGTCACTCATTGAATGAGGTGTTGTGTCAATCCCTGAGCTAGTCCGGAATCCTAAGTTTTTATTGCTAACAGTCAGGCAGGGCACTCATGGAGGCTTCTCTCGCAACTCCCCACTCTGGGGCAGAGGCAGACAGAACCGGAGGAGCTGCAGGAGAACCTGCAGCCGCCCAGCTGTGCCTGCCTCTCCCTGGCTGATCTGAATCAGTGCCAAAAGAGAGGTGAAACTCCGAAACAGCTTTGGCCGAATCGAAATGGAACAGGGATCTGAAACACCAAAATGAATCACTGTCCTCCAAAACGGCTGAATCTGAAACTGAAATGAAACACAGCCGTCTCGCACAGCCTTAATGCCTACCTTTGCTGTATTGTCTCTGTGATCAAAAGGCTTCTGTCTCACTCATTCAAATCCTTTGGATTACACAATTACACACAGAATAAAAATAAAGGGAAGAAGGAGCGCTTGGGCAGAGAATGAATAGATACCAAAAAAAATTACTACAATGGCTTTTTAACAAGTCCCAAAGACCTTACTCGAGGGTAGGACAGCAAGAATAGAGGATAGCAATATGGAATTCCATTTCTTTAATAAATATAAAATCTTCTCTAATGCAGTGCACTGTGCAGCCAGATAGCTGTTGTGAGCACTGGAGGTTCTTGTCTTCACACAAGTTATGAGGTATTCAAAAATACATGGTAAAAGTCAGGAGAAACTTTCCCTGCTGGAGGTCGGGTCACATCTATGATGTGCTGTAGTACAAAGTCTCTATGTCTAGTTTCAGCAGTTTTTGCTCTCTGTACTTGGTGTAAAGAGACCCACAGTAGTTGGTATGGTGCCTCTATGTCCATGCCGTCTAACAGAACATAGTACCGTATTTGGAATTACACAAATAATGGTCCCTTACAGGGCAAGTGCCCAGACTTACAGCTCTCTCTCTCCCTGTGGCTCCCAGGAATTTCAGGTCTCTTCTAGATCCCAGTGCCCGATTCCTGCGTTGTGCTTTTCAGAAGAAACAGGAAGTCAGAAATAAAAAGCAACTCTACTGTGTACAAAGTTCAAAACTTACTTGTCTAAATGCAGCAATCTGCGGGGGATTTCTCAGCAGAGGGTTGTTACACACACCACTGCGCTTCACTGCACTGCCAGCTTCCCAGAGACACTTTAGTTTTGACGTTAGAAATGTAAAATAGTCCTCTCAAATGCACACACCCGTCACTTCTGAATCCTTCCACTGTCAACGTGACAATGAACTTTGTACTGGCTCAGGTTGCCTGAGTGGAATGCTGGGATGTGTAGTCCCTTTCACCCTCTCTGAATGCAGCTGCATTTCTCTTCATGAATAGATCAGCCAGTGGCATTGTTTCCCATGGTAAACACGTATTTTTAGGAAACAGCACGGCAGATTGGACCTATTTATAGCACTCTAGAATTGTATAAAGCATCCTTCAATCAACATGTGTACTAAACAAGTCCATAAGTTAAAAAACAGAACTACAGCAGAGGGAAAGCTTAAGAGATATAAAAGAAGGGAGGAAAAAAAAGATGATTTATGACCATAAAAAGACTACAAATGCAAAATCTGTCACACCTCAGAGTATGGACTATGCATGCCATGGAGTCTGTCCCTCTGGGCTGTGAACCTGCTGAATCACTGCAACATTATGGTAGCACCCCTTGCCTTCTGACCTGCCTCAGTGAGCTGTGATGCTGTTAAAGAGTCTTACGAGACTGCCAAAAGGCAGATTGCTAGGCCACCATCCATTGAAGACCTGGTCATGTTCCTGAGCACTTGGTTGGAAGGAGGTTTCAGGTGAGATGGTGGGGACCTTACCTCGCTGTGGCCCACCCCTGTAATGGCATATCATGCCTTGGGAACTGTATCTGCTGCTGCTGGTCATGGCTCAAAAATCAGTGGGAGCTGGAGGTTTTGGCACTCCAAGCCCCAACCTCCAACCAGATCACGGTCGGTGCCTTCATGGTGAGGATCAGCCTAAAGGGGTTCCTGGAACAGGCCATGGGGTGAAGTACATCAACAACTTGAAGGGGAAACTAAACCATAGCAAAGTCTTCAAGGTTACCTTCAAATGGGATACCAGCAACCACTTTCTGCCTCAAGGAAACTTGGTTCACTTTACAGACAGGTGCTTCACCTATTCAGCTTACTTCAACTATTTCCATAACGGCACCTTCCATGGCAACTGGGATGAGGTGCTGGAGCTGCCACTTTGAGAACAAGCCTCTGCTCCATGTCCCATGTGGCTGCAAATCGCACACAAGAATATGGCAACTTTGCAACAATGCCATACAGGACTGGCTGGTCCCAGTCATCTTGGTATCAGTAGGGACAAAAACCACATGGTCCCAGCCTGCAGCAGCCCACCGAGACTGGACATTGTCTTGTCATCACTAACGACGATAGTAAGAAAATCCTGATTGTCGATGTGACCAGCCCCTTTAAAAACCAGTGGCAGGCTTTTGCTAAAACCTGGGAGTGAAAGCTGATGAAGTACAGCCTGAGACACTGGGAAGAAAGGGATACAATGTGATGGCGCAGGAGTTGAGCATCAATGTGTTTGGTGCATGGGATCCAAGCAATGATAGCATCCTGAGTGCCTGCAGAATACCTGGCACTACTTCAAGATGATGAGGCACTTTGTGGTCACCACCATCAGACGGTCAATGGCTGGCTATCATTGGTAGAAAGAGAACCAACCGAGGACATCAGCCAGAAGCAAAAGTGGGGAGCAAGACTGCAAGAGACACCACCACTATACTGTATAGAGTCTAATGAAAACCAAACACATTTCTGTTTGTACTTCACCCTGGGCAAATGTAGACTGCATGTTAAATGCAATGCATCAGACTGTTCTGTCATCCTCCAGCAGTGTGTACCATTGTGCAGGGTCCCATATTTCTCATAGGTATACTGTACCACATAAAAGTTTCAGTTAACATTCTCTGCCATTGGGGGACTGGAAAGGGAAAAGAAGCGTTTCTCTCATTGAACTGGTGCAGATTGAAAGAGGTGGGAAATCACTGATCTCTCTGCACAGTGGGATCCTGATCTTAGCTAGAGTGTTTTGTTGCTACCATAATACAAATAATCATCTGCTGTTATTTGTTATGTTGGAAGCATGTTAGAAAGATATTTTTCTCAACTCAGTGTCCATTTAGAAAATACAGGTTCTAGCCCTTTTCCTGTTGGCCTTTTTGATCACTTCATTAAATCAGCTTTGCTTATTAAAAAAAAAAAGTTTAGGAACTGGTTTGAAAATTAGCTTCTATAAATGAAAATAGAAATATTCAACATACTAACTGTCCCTATAATAGTGATGTTGACAGAATTAGCCATAAGAACAAGCTACTCACAAGACACGGGAACTAAAAGGCTGGCCTAAAATTCCCAACCTCCTCTTAGCAAAAGGATCAAAGATGTGATCTGATACTGTCTAGAAAACTGGAAGTATACTGCACAGGGTGAGCCATATTTAAGGAAATGTTTAAGTTCTTATAAGTTTCTTCTTCAAAGTTACTGAAACATGTCATCTAGTTCCTACTGTGTGAACATTCCCTTAATCCATGTTCACTAACAGAATATAAATGCTGCAGGATGCATGATGATGATAAAGCCAGAAGGAATCATTATGATGAGTGAGATTAACCCCTGCGCATAATGCAGGCCAAGGGATTTTATACTAGCAAGTCCTTCACTGCAGGGACTTATTCCTCTTTGCGCTCACTCCTGGCCTGGCTGGAAGGTGCACACTAGGGCCGTGTGAAATTTTGCTGCCCGTTTTGTTTCAACGCTGTTTCGAGCCATTTCGACCTCGAAACAGCAAAGTCAAAACAGAACAGGCAGGGCTGAAACAGGGTCAAAACAAAACAGGGCAGGTCAAAACGTTTGGAAAAATTCAAAACGTTTCGAGTTTGGACCAGGAAGCTGGGCTATGGGCTTACCTTCAATGGCTTGGCTTGCTTCCCTGCGGGGAAAGAGAAAGTAAAGTAAGGGGATGGAGGGGGAGAGGTGAGTGGGAAGGAGTGCTGTCATTATTGACATGTGTAGCTGGCCAGTGCCTGTCACCCTTCTCTGAGGTCCTTTCCAACCCCAGTGCTCTGGGGGAGGGACAGAAAAACTGCATAAAAGGCAGCATTTTTTTGGACCTGCTCCTGCTTTCTGCCTTGGGTGACTTATTGAGCTGTCTATTCTAGCAGCTCACTGTCAAACCACTAGGGCTAGCAGCACTGATTTTCTAAAGGGTTCCCTGCTTGTTACTGTAGCGAGAGGGATTTCAGAATACCTTTTTCTTGTAGGTGCTTTTATTATTGTATTCATTGATTTATTCTTTTGAATGTTATACTTATATTGGATAGGGTTACTATAGAACCTATTCTATATAGGAATTTACTATATATATTTGTTTTTATACAGTCATTCTTTGCACCATACCAATGCTATTGAATTTATATCCACAGACGCATATATTTCTACCATGTTCATAAATCTCTTGCCTGCACCAGTAGTACAGATTTGAGTTTATATAGGAACACAAATACATTTACATATTTCTTGAAAAGGAAGTCCTGAAACACCTCATGAAGAGTGGTAGAAAGGCAAGTGGCAACACTGGCCAGCCTTCAGGGAGGGGTGGAAGAGGGAGTAGAGGGAGAGCTGTAAGCCCCCCCTACCCCCCACCAAACTGAGACGCAGCCTCTTTCCTCCAGCTAAAAGGGATGAGGCTGCTAAAAGCAGCAAGGAGAGGGGAGCGGTGCCACTGCCACTGCCCCGCCCGAGACTGCATCCCCTCCATGCTCAGCAGCCATAACCCCACCCCACCATGACCACAACCAGCAGCACCAGCACCATCACAGCAGTCTACACCACCCCTATGTCACTTCCCATGCTGAGTCTTCCAGTGCCAGAAGAAGAGCTGGCACTGGATCTGGATCTCAGTGCCCTAGCAAGGGAAATTCTGGGGAAGGAGGGGGAATCAGCCGAGTTTGTGCTTGGAATTCTGGCACACTGCAACCTGCTGGACATCTGACACCCTAGGTACCTCTGCACTTTTACATCCCGCTTTCCACCCCACCCTTTCCCTCACCCTGACGCCTCCATTTCCATTTTCACTGACTGCCTTTCTTGCCTGCATTGCGTGCCAGGCCAGCCTCTGGCTTCTTTACTATTCCTTCCATCCAGGACCAAGAGACACACCAACTGCAGGTACTTCCTCAGCCTGACAAAGGGTTTTTCAACCTGAAAGCTTCCTAAGAGATATTTCTCTATTCCTTTTTTTTCCATAAAGAATATACAAACATAAAAACACAGGATAAGCCATCACACACACCACGAGTAACATATATCCAACACAACATCTTTACTTCTTGCTGTCAATTCCTTTACAACAAGAAAGGCTCTGTGACAGTTCCGTTTGGCTACTTTAGATGCTGCTGGTGCCAATGCTGTTGAGCCAGCTACGTTATTTTCACCTGCCATCATTTACTGTGGTAGACTGGACTGAGGCTGTAGGGGAGGAGGCCTCACTGGGGCACGCTGCTGTGTCTTGCAGAGGCCCCAGTGCCAGGAAGGGCGCACCTGAACACACAGTGTCACCCACCCATGTCATGAGTTTTGCCTGTCACCAGCCAGAGGTGCAGGGCCCCAGAACCCAGAGTGCCGCTGCACCTCTCATTGAGACCTGGTAGGCTTCATTACCTCAGCAGGGGCTAGCAAGCCTGCAGTTTTGACCCCGCTGTGGCTTCACACATACAAGTGATAGGACTTTTGCTCTCAAGACTTTGGGGTGCAGTTTCTTTGAACCCCCCTGCACCTATCTCCTTGAAGCTTGGCAGGCTTCATGCCCTCGTAAGGGTCTATCATTCCTGCAAGTTTCATCTAAATCAGGCCAGAAATGACAAAGCTATAGCCTGTTTTGACCTTCCGCATTATATCCTATGGGTGAAATGTCAAAACAGGTTCGACATGTAGAAATGTTTCCACAGAATGATACGGAACAGCTGTTTCAACTCGAAACAAAACGCTGTTCCGTCGAACCGTCGGTCGAAACAGAACGCTTCCGTTTCGCGCAGCCCTAGTGCACGCTGCTCCTTTATCTTCGATCTGCTACCGAAGGTCACGAGCAATATTGTGCTGCTTGTCTTCAGCAGAGCAGGGTGAGGGAAGAGTTAGGGCCAGATCCAAGTACTGTCTGTAAAACATCTCTAAATGGTAGGAGGAGGCTGTAAAGGAAATCCTTTTCCGACCTTCTTGAGCCCATGAAAAACTGTTACCGTCGGAGAGCGCTTGCTTCTTTTTGTGACTTTGTCCAATTTAGGCTTAAAACTTAGGCACGTTACTGTTTTTTTCAGGAACTTGAGCTGGCTGGAATAAGATCATGCTTAGCCTCTTGGAAACCACGGGGCAACATGGCGGGGGCACAGGCGGCACAAGCTCGTCCTGCCGCCTCAGAG